GGTATATGCATAAAAATGTTCACTTCAGAATTTCTTATAATAGGAAAATATTGAAAATAACCTAAATGTCCAGCAATAGAAGAATGGTAGAATCTGCTAGTGACGTAGTAGAGCAATTTAGAATGAAGACTGTAAAATGATATAGTAATTCGCAGATGTTTGCAACATGTTAAGTGGAAAAAGAAAAAAAACTGTTTCACAGCATGACGTTTTAAAATAGCTACTGACTCAAAGGGAACATGAAAATTGTATGAGTGGTTTGTGTGGATTGGGATTTCATTGCCTTCACTCAGAACTTTATAAATGTTGCTATGATGGCTCCTCAATTATAATTACAATGAAAATAACTTAAAATTAAACCCACATCATTCATACACCTGTGTATATTAACGTATGCACATTTGTATATATGCACATTTTTGTTTATGTGTATATATATAATATATATTTGTATATATGTATATTTTTTCCTAATTCAGTTTTATGAAAGATCCAAGAAGCAGAGATAACCTTTTAGCATAACCATACCTAGCCTTGGTCTCTAATACCATTCTGCACTAACAGGAAACAGGTTTCCTTAGAGAAAAGGTTAATTCCAGAGCTGGGGCAGAGTTAAGGACAAGATAAACATGGAACATCTTATTATATTAGAAAGTAAGGAAGTGCTAAAAAAAAAAAAAAAAAAAAGCATGATGTAGGCATATCAAAAGACATAGTACCCAAGCTAAAGGTGCTCCTACTAGCTTAATCTGGGATAATTTAAACACTAAAATAATTAAATACAGACTTAAATACTTAGAAGTAAAAGGTCATGATGTAACTTACCTTCAAGTGATTCAGAAAAAATGTATACAAAATATACACATATAAATATAGGTAAAACTCAAGAAAACAAAGCAAATACAGAATGGAAAAAACAGGAATTCATAAGTTAATGCAGATAATAAATAGAAAAATAGGGATGAAAGGGCTCTTTGTTCACAGAATGCTATGTGGGCTGATGGGTAGATGTGGAGACAGTATTAGGTTTGTGGACTCATTTTGCAACCATAATGGTAAAATTATATCAGCAATAGTTGATTCTAAATTTAAATGGGAGTTTTGATGATGAGCAAGATGTATCTTCAAATCTTTCCCCACAATTTGCTTTTTAATTGGCAGGAAGAAAAAAAAACCAGTAACTATACAACGGGAAATTCAGGCCACATATGGACCAGGTGATCAAAACTAATTATCATCAATGAGGGACAGATGGATATCATGTGTTTCCAGAAGTGATCACCTGTGCAGTAGTCCAGTTGAGAATATATATATAACCCCAATTTAATCATGAGGAAACATCAGACAAAAACCAAATAAGGAACATTTTATTTAAAAGAGGGGTGGAGTGAGAAGCTATATTCTTTAAAAATGTCAAGGTCAAGGGTGCCTGAGTGGCTCACTCCATTGAGTGTCCAGGTTCGGCTCAGGTCATGATCTTGACACTTGCAGTTCGTGAGTTCAAGCCTGGCATCAGGCTCTGTGCTGACAGCTCAGAGCCTGGAGTTGCTTCAGATTCTGTGTCTCCAGCCCTCTCTACCCCTCTCCCGCTCGCTCTCTGTTTCTCTCTCTCAAAAATAAATAAACATTAAAAACAACTTTTTTAATGTCAAGGTGATAAAAGATAAAGGCTGGAAATGTTCCAAAGTAAAGGAAGCTAAAGAGTCATGACAACTAACTGTAGTACCTGACACCAGACTGGCTCCTATACTGGAGAGGGAAATGCTACAAGGATTGACCTACAAAACTGGAATGTAGAGGTAGATTCAAGTATTAGTCCAATGTAACACTCTCAAGTATTCATGGGGGACAGATCACAATGTATGTAAGTTAAGTCAAATGGTTCAGAAAAAAATTGTATATAAATATACATGTATGTGGTGAGAGAGATTTTCCACAAGAGCAAGCAAATGATAAGAATGTTCAGTAAATTTTTATTTTTGAACTTTCTGTAAATTTAAAATTATTTCTAAGCAAAAAGGTTTTTTAAAAATTAAATACACCTTAGAGAAGCAAGACCAACAGGAAAATAAATGTTACTTTAAGACCCATCTAAGCATATTGGTTTTAAAACATTCTCCAGTGTATACTAAATTTTCAAGTTATTGTTCAAAATGTTTTCTTCTTTTAGTCTTCATTCTTTTGTAAAAGATGAACAGACCTATAGTTTTCACAGTTTAATCTAAATAAGTTAATATGTTGAGCCAACATTCCATCAGTTGTAACTTTCTCATTAGAAACAGCAGGAGGGAAAGAAAGCATTGAAATTACAAAACCTCTGTTCTCCACATTACCCACATTTACCATTCATTTGCTGGTGACTGCATTCCAGTTTGCAAGTAAAACCTCAGATTTTAAATTATGACTTCAGTTCTACTGTTAGGACAAGTAAAGAGTATGCAGAGACTCAAATGGAGTCGGTGGAAAGGAGTGGGGCAGGGTTGATTAACTTCACCATATTGAAGATGAAAAACAGCTGAAACTTCTACCCTAATTGAGTACCTTAATAATTGAGTTTTTTCTTTTCATAAAGTATATCTCTATGTGGAGTATTAAAGTTTGGAGAAAGTTTTCTTACTAGTTTTTACCTGTGAATTTGATGATCTGATGTAAAAGCACTCTTTTTTTTTCCTTTAAAATTCAATTCAATTATTTGCACCCCCTTGTGGTCAAACATAAAATTTGACATTTTCAAAACATCTTCCAATTGGGCTTTTTGTTCAGGCATAGGAACCATGTTACTAGATTTTGTTTTCCTCCTGTTTTGGTGAATTGAGCAGATTATGAAGGGTTTCTGGTTTACTAAATAGTATTTTAAACAAAACAGGACTTAAATCTTCTAAAAGTGACCTCCATATAAACTTTAGTCTGTGGAAAATGGAGAAAATTACACCAACCTCAAGGGTTAGTATGAGGATTCAAGAGGAAAATGCATATACATGCTTAGCTGACACACAGTAAGTACTCAGTAAATGTTATTTACCAACATCATCGCTTTAGATGTCTCTTGACATTCTATATCTACAAGGGGGCTAGATCAAAAATTTGCCAGTTCATGAAGTTCAAGTACAATTGTGCAAATAAGTTCCTCAAATATACCACTTATCCAGACTATGTCTGGCTAATTCTCACCACAGATATATTTTTAAAGAACAAAGAATATATATTTGTCTCTGGATGACAGAAATTTGGATAGTTTTGACTTTATGTTTTACTTTATATACTGCCCTGATTTTGCCCTTCCCGCCTTAGTTTTAATAATTAGAAAAAGCAATAAAATTATTCCATTTCCATATGATCCTCTTATGAATGATAAAACAATTAACATCTTTATTCCTCTAGCAGAGACTGTTACTCATATTTGGCAAAAATAGTTTGTCGGGCTGATTTATCATTTTAAGGGGCTTTTGAACACAAATGTTTAACTCCTATTGGTACTAACTTAGCTTTTTTTAAAACACAAGAACCTATTTTAAAAGATTAGTGTTAATTACTGACAACAGTAGCTAACATTTAGTAATATACCAACCACTGTTAAAACGCCTTTACTATATTACCTCATTTACATCCTTACAACCCAATGCGATACTAGCATTACACCTTTTACAAAAGATCAAACTGAGAAAAAGTAACTTATAAAGCTAGGAAGTAGCAGGGCTGATATCCAAATCCAGGCAGTTTAGTTCTAGTCCACCCACTTAACCAGTGCACAGAAACACCAGAGCTGTAAGATAAACATACTACTTTGCAATGTTACTTCTTGATCTCAAATTATTAAAATCCATTTCTTTTCCAATTGTACCTCAATAATGCAAATCATGCTAGCCTTCTGCTATTTCCTTCTTAGTACTTCAGGCACCTGCAATATTCATCGTCTTCTTTAACCCTCACAATGATATATGTTTTTGTATACTCCTACAGTTAAGGTTCATCACAAGCTGTTTTGCAACAAAAACTGGAAAAAATGTAGCAATGCCCCAGATTTTAAACTGTTGGATTTTTTAGAAAAGTTATTATCACTTGGGATCAGGAAAAAATTAACCAGTCAAAAATAATCTTAAAATGTAACAATTTAGGATCAATGGCAATTGTTTTGTTTACATTTTCATCTTAACCAGCTTAGTGGCGGGGAGGATAACTCTCCCAAGCATATGAATGCTTAGAAGAGTTTTCTAAAGAAGGTGTTAAAATACTGACAACTTTATCACCAATCATTGTCCTATCTTAGCGCCCAGCTTTGGGACGTGGACACAGATTTACTTAGGTTTTGTGCTTCTTTCTACTTACTAGTTCCAAGATTTAGGGGCAGATTTCTTAATCTGAGTGTCGGGTGTCCTCGTGTATAAAATGACCATAATACCTACATAATTGGAGTGTTTTGAGGAGTAAACACGATCAATCCGTAAAGCCTTTATTTAGCTCCGTGCCAACCCAAAGTACAGTACCGCAGTCAGTACGTGGTATCTAGCTGTTATCACTTTATTAATGTGCCGCACAATGGAAACCCGTCTTCGATAGTTTCAGTTCCCTTACCACCCTTTAAAAAAAAATCACCCTAAGTGATACCCAAAGACTACCCAGTCACCTCCCTAAAACAGCAGAATGTTTTAAGAATAAGTGAGACGGTGAGAGAAACTGTACTCGATGAAAGAACCTTCGAAACAGGCAGCTTAGAATCGACAAGGGCTCCAACACTTAAGTAATCCTTCAGAGCGCGCGGACGCCCACACCACACACACACACACACACACACACACACACTTACTTGCTGAGCAGGGGAAACCACGCCCCCTGTGTGTGCTCAGGTTGGATGGCACAGCAAGAAAGAACCCCAGGTTCCAGAATCTGACAGATGCGGACTTATCCACGTGCTTGCAACCTGTGCCTCCTTGGGCAAATTACTTAAATTCTCTGACCTTTGCTTTCCTGGTCTGCAAACCGATAATAATAATAGTACCTACCTCATAAAGTTGTTCTGAGGCTTAAGTGCAATAGTTCCTGTAAAGCGTTGACAAACAGCAAGTGCTCTACACACAGGCGGGGCTGTTTTAAGTACACGTGTATCCATACACATGGTCTCAGAGACACATTCCGTTGTTAGGAGTTTAAACACTGGCAATAAAACATTTTTCTTTTCGTCTAGGCTGCACCCTTACTTGTTTTCTTCGAACAATAAAATAAATGCCTATCGACTGACAAGTCATCTATGGACCCTCGGGCCCACAGTCCCCACAGTTCCTCCACGTCCGCGGCTGAGCAAAGAAGCTGGACGCACGCGCAAGAAAGGAGGTCGGAGGAGAGACTGAGGAAGCGAAGTGAGAGCGGCGAACATCGACGATTCTGCGCATGTTCAAGGCGCGGAGGTTGGGGGTAGGAGTTTGCGCATGCGCAGAAGTGTCGGGAAAGCCAGAGAAGGGTTAGGAGGCGGTATTGACAGCTGTGGAGGCAGCCCGCGTTCCCGGCATGCCCCGGGGCGGCGGGGTTGGCTCTAACGAATTTGAATGAGGAGTCTCAGCGCTTTCGGCGCCATTTTCGAGTGATGCCTGATCTCATCCATCTAGCGGGAGAGAAGGGATAACCTGTCCGAGATTATAGCGCCACTAGGACTCCGCCGAAAAATCACTTAAAAATTTGCCAAAAATTACTTAGTGCAAAAGGCAACCCGCGGAGCTTCGCCAGGGTTGGCGCAGACGGTAAGAACCTGAAGAAGTAACAGAGCGGGACCTGGGAGGTGGCAGCGGTGGGACAGTCAGGCGATGGCGGGGGGGGGGTGCTGGGAGTGGGCACTGGGTCCGCCCTCATTTTAATTGCTAAAAATGCGAGGAGATGGGGTTGGGGGTAATTGAGTGTCTGCGAGTGGGCGGCGGCGGGCGGAATGTGGCGGGAGCTAGGAGAGACGGGGGTGTGGGGGGAGGGGAGTTGCAGTTTGAGCGGGACGCTGACGGGCTGCGTCGGAGCAGCCGCCGCCCAGCGGATCTGTCAGCGGGACCCCCCGCCCGGGGCCGGGCCCGGGGCGCGGCGGGGCTCCGTAGGCCGAGGCTCCTTGACAGGAGGGGACGAGCGTCCCCTCCCCCACTTGCCGAACGAGCCGTCTTTAATCGCAGTTTTCCCGGCCCGCTGACGGCCGTCTTCTCGTGACATGAAACTTGAGGTCGGTGGAAAATTAAGGACCAGGAGTATAGTGGGTGCCTCCAGTCCGTCGTGCGGACCTGGGGTCCGCGGGACCCAGCACTGTATATCGTGTTAGGCGCTGAAGCGTGAGGTGCCCTCGGGAATGTGAGTTTCACAACGTAGCCCTACGGCTCTGCGCTCTTCGGTCCCGGCTGGGGTAACCCTGACGGTGTCTGGCTTTTCCAATTTGGGCAAGATAGGGCGGGGGCAGACTTTTGAGGTTTCAGCGGGCTCCTAGGAAAGATGCTGGACTTTCGCTTTTTGCTCGGGATATTTGTCCTTTGCTCTCACGGTGTTGTTTCTAAGGCGGGGGGGGGGGGGTGAAAATAGGACTTCGAGCTTGCAATTTCCTTCTCCCAGTTGCACTTTTCTCAGAAGACTCCTCCAGTCTTTGAAACATATCGCAGGGAAAAAAAAAGCAATCTGTGAAACTGTATTGATGTTTTCCTCACGAAATGTCTTAGCCCGGACAGCTGAACGGTAATTTTGCAATCCCCACCTTTTCTCGGGAACGCTCTGGACTGTGAGGCGGAGGGAAGAGGACTGTTATTTGTCTTTCCCTTCAGTGGGTTTTTTTTTTTTTTTAACCTCGTAGTTTCTACCAATTCTCAGTCGACAACTCTTGAATGATTTGAGCCCGTTACGGCTTTAAGTAGTACTTTATAAATAATGGCCTTTGTAAAATTTATTCATTAAAGATCTATTCGGTTTTGAGTCTTTTTCTGCGCGGAAGGCACCGCTGATTAACCCTTTGCTGGTGTGTTTTGCGTGTGGGGCGCGCGGCTCTGGGTTGCGAATATGCAGGAGATGGGTTTTGCAGCAGCTATTCAATTGTTCGCGAAGAGGAAAAACGCTTTCTGGGAACCGCAGTAGCACACTCTTTGGGACCACCTGCCTAAAGGGTTTTCCCCGCTTGGAATTGATGTAACGATTGATTGATTTCTTATTTCTGTAAAGACTGGAGGACCCGCCCTCACTTAGAATCTGTCCCCGAGGAGAATAGGAGAGCGCAATGTGATGTTTTTCAAATTGTGTCTAACGGAGCTCCCAAAACACCGGACTTGTTACCCACTGATTGGCTGGAAGGGAGCGGGACTAGGGGGTTTGAATGTTGAACACTAGATATAATTCTCTACTTTCCGAAAAATACTTTTAGAGAACCACGGAAATAGTTAAGAAACGTTAAGACGGAGAGTTTGGGGGGGTGGAAAGCTGGTGTTTAATCTTTTTTTATTTCATAAAGGACTTTCGAACAGTTCTGAAATGTATATTAAAAGTAAAACTTAGGAGGCAGTTTTCGCAAAAATTTTATTTCTGTTGGCTGAAATTGCATTAATGTATTTGCTCCTGTTATCTATTGGTTAAAAACTGACTGTAGGATCTAGGTTTTTTTATTTCTTAGGCAGAAATTTTTCAGTTTAAACTACATATTTCAGTGCAGATTACGGGAGAATTGTTTCTTTTATTTTGATGAAAAGAAACTTTAAATTTCTTAGGAATGAGCCTCCTCACATTGCCCAGAAAAATTGGATGTATTTAAATTTATTTTCCACATGTAACTTAACAATACATAGGTTTTGCAAATTCAGCCATTGCTGTGAACTTAAAACTTTATTTACAAGAAATTTACGTTGTGTAACTTAAACAATAAAACAGGTAAGTATGCACAGGTGCCTATGTATGATTTCATTCCTTTGGTAAATTCACTGTGAAAAAATATATTGCCTACATTATGGGTGTGTTGTGTCTTACTTGGTTGGTTTTCAGTTGATTTTTGTTTAATGTTGGTTGAGACAGCCGTCAATATATTTCTATTTATTACCAAGCTTGTCATTCCGTTTAATTGCATCTTGATAAAAGGCGGGTGTGGTTTTCAAAGCAAATCGGTAAAGTCAGTGATAAACAAGATAACTGTAGATGCTTTTTAAAAAATTTTTTTTATTTAATAGAAATTAATGTTCTTTTATGAATAGCAGTTGAAATTTTGAACTTAGTTTCTATTCTAACATTAGGTCAAATATGCATTGTTAGAAAATCTTCAAATGAAAAGATCCCACGACTTTTAAAATCTCTGTAGGGCTATAAATATAATTTATGTTGAGTGAAATAGCTGAGTTTATAAATAATGCTATTTTGTATTGCCTTCATAGCAAACATTGCAGTTGTGGAATCTTTGTTCATTACCTTTTTTTCAAAGCTATTTATTTTGAATTATCTCATGAAAATTTCATGAAAGGTGCTAATTATCCTCTATAAAATTTGACTTAATTAAGTTGTAGCAGACTCCATTTCTCTTGTAAGTGTAATTTTACCTATGATACAGAACTCAGGTTTTACTTTTTTTTTTTAACTCTTATTTTGGGTTTGGGGCTTTAATTTTCATTCAAATTATTATGTGACTTGGAGAGTTTTTGATGGTGGGGTAGGAAAAGGCTTTAAACTCCACCAGGCTGGTTAAATTTAACCATACTTTTTTAGTGCTTTGGTTTATGGGGCTTTTTGTTTTGAGGGGTGATGATGGATTGTTTTATTTAATAAGCCATTTTTTAAAGAAGTGAAGAACTCCTTTATTTAAAATATTATACTTAAAGCTTGAGGATGCACTAGCACCTAAATAAAATTGACAGCATTTAAAATATTTTCCCTTTTATGTGATGGGTTTTTAGATTTGTGGCCATGTAGGTATGAGTTTCAATTTGTATATTATTATTATGTGTGTTACCCATATTTCTTTGTAGAAATTGATAATTCTCATTTATTTTCTATTGTAAGGACCAGAAAAGTCCTATATTACCACTGGAACACAATGGTGGGGAAAGGTGTTGCCAGTAGCTCTACTCTTTTTTTAAAGCTATGTTTATATAACATGGGGGAGAGGGAACTAGAGAAGGTTACCTTGGTAAGAGGGAACTAGAGAAGTCCTGGTAGCACTGATACTCATTTGTTTGCCTTTCATAGTTTTTTTTTTTAAACTCCAAATAAAAGTACAATTTTAGACTTTGCTTTAATGCTATTAACTTGTCTTAGTTGTACATATACAAAACGTAGCCTCAGGTGTTTTCATGTAACACTACATTTTTTTCTAATCAGATTAATATCACTTTCAATGTTATCAAAAACTGGAACTGAGGATGAAAATTTCAAAATAGCTTTCATATTCTGAATCCCTTGTTTCCTCATGCCTTGTGTACTACATTTTTTTTTTTGTTTTGTGAAGATATGTATATTTTTATTTCTGTTTACTGGCATGCAGTAACAATATACTTCAATATTGGTCAGTTAATTTGATTTACAAGAAAAAAAATGCTCAGAGACTGTACTAGTTACTTCTACGTGATACATAAGCTAAGCTTTCTCCAATTAAAAAAAATCAATTAGACACACTATTTTGAGATTTTATTCTATAAAAATTTGTCTCTCGTTTTTTAAAATTACTTGCCTAAAATTGGCTTTTGTCTTTTTTCTTTGGTTTAGTGAAGCTTAATAATTCCCACATTGATTTCTTTTTAACCCTTTTTTAGAAGAAACAGATTATTGGTCTGATTATAACTAGAAAACACATCTTAGAAGGAATTGTCATACCAGAGTATTCATGTACATGTGGTTTTGTTATTTCTTACTGTCACTAATTTTTATTTAGCAAACTCAGAAACACTGTGGCCAGGCAACTAATTTGGCATGTAATTAGACTCAAACTGTGACTTGCTGAAATTTGGTAGCCCCACTTCTCTTAAGACCAAAGTAAATCAGTAATAAACTACCACTTTGAAATAAGTGTCAAAAATTAGATTAAGTCATTTTGCTAGTAATAGTATTAGACTTTAAAGTCGTGATTGTCTTAATGTGAGTAACATCACTTTTAGAATTTCACATTACTAATAAACGTTTATATTTTTGTCTGATTATTTGCATATACAAATGACTGTAGAGCCTTCCTATAAATATTGCTTTCTTTTAGGGAAATGAATTTCCTTTGCCTT